GAACTATAAAGCCAAATAACGTGGGTTTTTTTATACCTCCTATCAGAACTTGGGGAAAGAGGACCTCTTCAGTTAATACGCCCCTCAACGGGTTAGTCAGGCTTTAGTTTAACTCCTGCCACACGCACTTTTTGAAACGTTCTGTTTAACATACTAATCTTAAGCAGTAGTTTGCAATTTGGGGTCACACTAAAATTTAAGTTTCCTCACAGTAGGAAGTTTTTTTTTTTTTTTAAAAAATTCAAGTAAGAAATTTCCTAGTTACCATACAATGAGCTAGCAGCGACTCCCTGGTGAAAGGTGCATTTTGGATGTCAGGCTTTCAACTTCACCTTGAAGTGGTAAAAAAGGATTTTTTTGCTTCAATAATTTTTTCCCTCTCCTCTCCCTGGAGGATGAAAGCTTCCTGTTGTCCACTGAACGTGTCCTCTACTGTGGCTTTCAGATTCAGCATCAGCATACAGCGTTTTTTCGCTTACATACACATGCACTCTTGAAATCTGGAATTTTTATTTTCCAGGTACAGGTGAATCCTGGACAACACTTGCATCCGTAACATACCCAAGGAAACAACTGAACTAAGTTATATTGTAGGTAAATACAGGCAAATCATATGCCAGGTAAGTTGCATGTTTTATGACTGAAGTAGATGTAATTGTTAAGATAAGGAAGTAGTGTACTATGCATAGAAGGACACATGTCTCAGTGGAGGCAGAAGTTTATTAGACCGGCCTAAGAAGGTGAGCTGCTGCTTGCTTGCTCTAGGATGCTAGCTAGCATCCCAAAACTTTACCCTGCAGAACTCAGCTATAGGAGAAGGGCGATCGTATAGTTAAAGCAAAAAAGGAGGAGAGAAGGACAAAGAGACAGTGTCTACTCTTTCAAGCTTTCCAGAAGCTATTTCCAGTCTTCCTTCTCATAATTTCTCAGCCTCACCCCCATTATACAGGATTTTAAAAAAAGTAATCTTGGAGAATAAAGATCAGCAAACCATACAGACCAATCCTGCCAAAAATCTATGACAGCCACCAACTAAGTTGGAGATCAAGCTAAGGCAAGATGAGATGGATTCCTTCATCCCTCAATATACATTTTCTTCCTCTCATGTTTGCCTCTGCCATATAACTGATTACCCCATTCTTGGTTTAACTGTTCATATAAAGTACTTGCACTTAAAATACCAGTGTAAGTCTTAAGACTTACAAGTAAGGTTTTTAATGCTCAAATTATTCTACAATTAAAACTGACAAACTCAAATGATGATTCACTTTTTAATAATATACATCCAAACACTACCGACAGAAGAAAAATTCTGCATAGTACACAAATGTTTGGGCACACATTGAAGAGAAAAAGATACGAAAACTAGAAAACTTACATTCAGAGATTGCACAGTTAGGCATTCAGTATCACTAGGTGTTATGTCATATCACATACACAACAGCAACATGATACACATACTTTATTGTACTTGTTATATATTTTCATTTTCAAAAAAATTTAGACCATCTTATTCTCAACTGCTTTTAAAAATAACTGTCAAATTAACTTAGAATTTTTTTTCTTCTGGATTGAAGAGGTATCCATCTTCAATAAAGGGTATTGCTTTAGTATTATTTAAATATATTTATCAGCAATAATGTATTTAGTTTTAGGTAATACACAAACATAATACTCTCCAGAAGACCAGAAAACTATTTACAATTTAATTCCACTGTAAGCCACCTACACGTGCAATTAACAATTTATATTAAAATTCTATTCCGTGGTATCAAGATTGTCAGTATTACAAGCAAGACTAAACTTTACTTTAGAATCTGTAGAATCTTGCTTTCTGGGTTTTTTTTTTTTTTTTTGGACAGTTAAGCAAAATATGTCGTAGCAAAAATACTTACGTTTGTGGAAACAATGTTCCTCCCACACACTTTCTTTAGGTTGTTAATTTTATGAAAGCCACTTGAGGTGCTATCAGGTGATTAAAAAAATTACATCTGAACCAGATTAAGAGGTTTCTAAAGGATTTACTTTTCATATATCAGAATAAGATTTGTTTTAAAGCCTTTATGTAATATACAATGGAACATACAGCACCACAGATGACTTCAGAAAAATATACTCTAACAAGTTGGAAGAAGATGATAAAAGTGTATCAAGTTTTCCAATGTTTTATTTTAAAAGAGGCACTTAGAGTACCTGGAAGATGCTCAAATCTACAAAGTTCCAAAGGCACTGACAAACATATGTCACAAAAAAAGACGACAAAACTTTAAGGCAACGCATATTGGAAAAGAAAGCTGAACACACTGATCTCAACAGATCATGTATAATCCTTCTGTCCAGATTTACTATCATACAATAATGTATAGGACAAAAATATCAAATAAAAGCAGTTAAAGGACTTTATTTGAGCCTTTTTAATATACTTTAAGATATATTTGTTTTATATATGTATGTATACATAATATATATATTTAGAAGTACTTTTTACTGAATTATACACAGGTAACAGAACAGCATGCAATGAAAATAAAACATTACGGAGCAGAAATCAAGTATTCTGAAGATCACATTACTGAGCACAACGGAAGGTTGCAATTTCTTTCTTCATTTCCTAATAAAAAAGAAAACAAACTAGGAATAAGCGTGAACAAAAGTTTAAGAACCCTGCTGTTTATTTCTTCATACGAAGTTAAAGGATCTGTAAATACATACAACTGTTGGTGATATTTAGCAAGAACACGTGCTGAAGCCGTCACAATGTTTTTATATTCTCTGTAGCTTCCGAGGCATTGCTGCGTGTCCAAAATAGAATAGGATACAGAGCCTGTATCAACAGTTGTTTCAACAATTAGGAAGGAGATCCTTCCTGAGAAGTCACAACTGAAAGCTGAAAAAGTTACTCTGTGCACGCTGAATAATTAATTTACGGTAGCTACTCGCACAGCACATTCAGAATAGGAGAGAGTGTGTTTAAAGCTAAAGAAAGAAGTAGAAAACAAAGAAATCCAGTCACCTTTAATTTGAGCATTACGATTTAAGTTCCAGAAGCTCACAAGCCCTGGGATAACATAAATAAATTCCCTTGTCAAGCTAAAGCATGACATTATACTGGATGAGAAAGGCACATTTTTCAGGCATGGCCTCCTTGAATCCAAATAGTCCTCGCTGTTGCACAATCAGAACAGAGCGTCCGTTCTAACTCTTTTATCAGATGTGAAACAAGAGATCGAGATGACCAGTGCCTAAACGAAGAGGCTTCCTCTTTTTAAGGTAAACTGCAGAAGAGCAAAGAATTTTATCTATTCTCACACACAGGCATCTCAAAGACAAACGGGTTTGTGTCTCTTGGATCTGCAGACTGCATTTCCAACAAACCTAAACCAACTCAATAGTGAGAATGCCTGACTTGGACCATGGATGCCTCCTGAAGACTTGCTGAATTCTGACAACTCATAAATCCTCTCTTACAGGAAGAGATCAGAGAATCTGAATAATTACCCAAAAACCTGCATAGGCAGAAACCTCCCGTTATGTCAAATTAAAGATGCTTGAACTTGCTAGTTAAGAAGAGATTATGGTGGGACTAAAGCTCAAACTCCTGCTTTGTTTCATACTTATTGTTGAAGAAGGGAACGACTAAGCATTTCCATGTTTGACTGCCTGTAGGGGGGAGAAAGAGGAAGCAGTAGACTGAGAACAGCACCCTCCTTTCATGACCCCCCCACCCCTAAAGCAAAAAAAAAAAGAAAAAGAAAGAAAAAAATAAAAGCTATTCACAGACTCTAAGGTTAACGGCTTTGAAGGAGTTGTGTGTGTGGAACCATTGTCTTCAAGTTCAATCTTTTTCCTGCCAAAACTGCCAACAATTATGCCAAATATAACAATGGTTTTGCAATATGGATAAATGTCTCCCAGACAGAAATGAACAAGTCTTACAACAGACAACTAAGCAGTAAAGAGATTAATAATAAGCATGATATCCAGAATGCATGCATACTGTGTAACATTGATAGAATGCTATATATAAAAATAAAAAAAATACGTTAAAAAAAATTACCTTTACTAATTCGGTTTTGTCATAATCTTTCCGATGTCGGTAAATACACTGACTGAGCACAGCATATAATTTTTCCAAGTGAAATATATTGAAGTTCTTAGTTATCTCACTGACAAAATTCAACAGTTGCTGAAGAAAAAACATGGAGACAACACAAGTTTAAAATAGCATGAGATCTTCTCAACAGGCTCTTCCAGTTTTCAGAAGCTAAACAGTAACAATACAACACAACTGACATCCTACTTTCTTACATTGTTAAAAAAATGTGAGTAACACTTCAGAGAACAGATTAAATGTTGCACCAGATTTCACTGGGGGAAATGAGTTAATTTTTCATACTGCAGAGAAAAAAGGCAGCTTAAATTTCAGGTAATATTGTATTACTAAACAATCACACTTCAATGAGAATAATCGCAAGTCAACTTCTTCCAGAACAGCAGGAAACATGGTCAAGTTTGTAGAAGAGATGCTGCCCAAGCAAAGCCACTGTTGCATTTCATTAGAGAAAGTGTTGCTGCAATGCAGGGCACTGTAAAATGAAGGTTTGAAAGACAGGCTACAGATCTTCTAGATACAGCTGTGCTAGCTGGAAATGGCAGCATCCTTACATGATTATCTTCACCCATTAGCTGAACGTTTACCGTGCCTACAACATTGCTGGCAGAACAGACTGCTCAAGTGCCTGAAGCAGATCAGGAAGCAAAGTTAGATCAGTTAGCTCAAACCTACCCTTAAACAGGTGGGTGGATAAAGTAGCAGAGTGACTTTGCCTGTAGCAGATTACCAGTCTCTCACACAGTCCTTTCCCTTGCCAAAGACGAGGTGATAATCTCCAGCAAAGTAATTGTGACAAGCTAGCGGCAGCACCTTCTTCCACTGCCAGAGCGGTTCAGTATCTGTGTATGGTGTGAAGCTGTCAAAATGTACCTTAAGACAGCAGCCATGCCAAATGAAAATACTACTGCCCACAACTGCCAAAACTCTGCTTCCCTCGGATCAATGGAAAAAATGTTCACGTGAGTATTCCCATCAACTTAACTTCAGGAAACAGCCTGTGAGAATAAATGACTAACTTGCTAATAAATGACTAACTTGCTAATTAGTCTATTTGACTGAAAGAGGTTAAGTAACAATCAATACAAGGAACGTAACCATCGGATATTAGGAAGCCAAAACCACTATAAAGGAATCCAATCTTTTCAAGCAGCTCATGCTGAAATCAGAAGGCAGCCTGATAAACTTGAGGTACCTTGGACACATTATTCACCCTAATGAAAAACTGCAAATAGTTCAGTGACAGCCAGTGAGCAGGTAGCATAAATAGCCCCGAGAACTTTGTGAGCTAGTAGAAAATGAGAACCACTTCAGCCTTTCAGTCTTATGCATATTTCTATTTGGTTTGCTTCACAGTAGCACAAAACGCCAAAGACGAGACAAAGTCCGAAGCCACAGAAGTGCTCATCTCCCCCCAGGTGGTAAGATTTCTCCTGTTATTCATTCTTTGAAAAAGCTTATCAGCTGGAACATTAGCAAAACACAACATACAGGCAAAACAAAACAAAAAAAGCTTAGAGCGCTTTCAGTTGCCGCAAACAGCGAGCGAGGCATGTGAGGTTGTACAGTCAGCCTCCCTGGTGAAACTGTTCCTAATTGTTGCCGTACACTTACACTACATACTCTCCAATGCGTTCATGGAGTTCTACTAACAAAGAAACCACGCCCAAAGAAACCTTATGTGAAAGTTTATCTAGCCTATTCAACAGAGCTCAGTTCCAAAGAGGATTCCCTGTATGAGTAGCTAGTTCCAATGGCACCAATATTAATGAAATATGGTTTCTAGAAAAGCCGTGTTTCACAGCTGACAACTCACGATGACCGTAGCTCTCCTCATAGCCAAAACATTTCAGTGCTCTACTGTACGGTTTCTCTAGTGAGCAATACCTTAGGAGCACATGCTATTAGTGTCCTGACTCTGAGAAAAACCTACATGGATTCTCTACGTACACAGCCACGGACCAGAGAAAAGCTTAAAATATGTTTCCTTAGGAAGCGAGGTTTAACGTTAGTTTCATCTCTACAAATCAAGCCACTGCTTAAAGATGCGAGAAAAAGCTATGTTTACAAGCCTCTTTATCAAAGAGCATTCCTATCTGGTCACATTTTCCCTA